TGGGAAGGGGGGAAAAAAAGGATTTCCCACTGGCCCTTTTTGGGTAATTTCCCCCGGTGAAGGTTTTTAGCCCCCCCGGCCACCCCTAAAAAAAATTGGGGTAACCCCCTTCGGGGGCCAGATTTTCCCCCCCCTTCAAAAGGGGCCCTGGGGGGATTGGGGAAAATTTTGGGGGGGCCCCTAAAGGGAAAAGGGGGGGTGGGGGGTTTTTTTTTTGGAAAAAAAAATTTTTTTTTGCAAATTCTTTTGGGCAAATTAAAAGGGGGGGGGCCCTCCGGGGGTTTTTTTAATTTTTCCCCGTTTTTTAACCCTTTTAAATTCCTTCCCCCTTTTTGATTTTTTTCCCCCCCTTTTTTCCCCGGTTTCCAAAACCAGGTCCCCCCCCGCCGCAACCCCCCCCTTTTCCCCAAGATAGGAGTTCCTTTTAAAGGCCCCCCCCCCCCCCCCCGCGCCTCCTGGACACACGAGCAGGAACTCCTTGCTCTGGAGATGGGAGGTCTCGACATGGCCGCCCGCGACGAGGAAGACTTCGGCCCGGAGGACGACGAGTCCATGTCTCAGGGGCTCCGCATGGCGGCAGAATCCGCCCTGGCACACACCTCCGGAGGGGGCGCGGGCCGCAGGATTCGAACCGCGTCCCCTGTCGGCGCGACCTCCTTGCGCTCCGGCGGCTCGGCGGCGGCGGCGGTTGCCGAGAGCCGGGGGGGCGCCCCGCAGGCCACGGCCGTCCGTGAGGGCGAGGGGGTGGGCTTTTCGTCTGTGCCTGGCACGATCGAGGAGGAGGACGAGCTGGCGGCGTTCAGAAGACTGGAGGCGGAGGCGGTGGCGGACTTCGGTACCGGTGCTGCCGGTTGGGGTGGGCAGCAGTCCGTGGGCGTTGGTCGCCAACCCGCCCCGGCAGCAGCCGGCGGCGGCGGCGGGGGGGGGAGAGGGGGGGCTCCGCAGGATGATGGTGACTGGGGGGCGTTGTCGGCGAAGGCCGTCGGGCGGAAGACGGTGGCGGCGCTGAAGGAGTTCCTGGACGAGGAGGGTATGGACTACCCCAGCAAGATCAAGAAGGCGGAGCTGGTGGACATGGTCCTCAACATGCTCGCCAAGGGGTGATGATGATGATTGCTCCATACAGTATACAAGTAGTATCTATCTCACTCCCTTGATTTTTTTTTTTTTACAGAAATCGGCGGTTTTCGAACAGCGCTCGCTGTCCACGGGCAGGGGGTCCCACAGAATCGAGACGGTTGGTTTCGGCGGGCTCTCTTTGGATCCGTCGGCTGGGCGATTCGATTTGTTGTTGGTGGAGTGGGAAAACTACTTAACTCTAACTTAACTTTTGGTGTGGGTTGTTGGTTACTCGAAGGCAAAGGGGGAAGCGGGTAGCAGCCTCTCGTAGTGTTTTCTTGCGTCCGGAGGAGCATGATTTTGTGGATGAGGGGTACTCTGACCGTGTGCTCCTGTCAGGCTCCGTCTCCGAATGAACTTCAGTTGAGCGCCGTGAGCCAGGCTTTTGAGGAGGTTAAGCGGCAAGAAGTGGCTCCGAGGCACGCGGGGTTTGGGCGATTGTTTCACGAGAACGAGAGATGGTGGTTGCCATATTTTTGCTTTTTCGCCATGACGTGGGTAAAGAAAAACTCACCGAGACCCTCTTGTTTCGTGTGGTTCACACGGATGTGGGTAGTTCCCGGGGTTGAACTATCGGCGTGGAATGGATCGATGCTTTTCGAGGCAGGACGTCTGTCAAGACCCTTTGCGTTTTCATTCCCTTCGTTTCGTCTCTCGCACGTGGGCATCTTCTCTTCTCTTGTCTTGTCTGGGTGGGTTGACGTGTACCGTTTGTTGCTGTTGCAACCTGTTTTGGTTCGATTTTGCTCCTTTTCTTTTGGTCAATGTTGTAGAAGCGTTCGAGGAACGTGGTGTCCTCGTCAGGGCGGGTTTTGTGTCCAATCAGCGCCTCCGGCGCCGGTATAAGCTGTTTCTTTTGGCCTCAAGGAAGGCTGTTGCGGGAGGTGATGTTGGCTGTGTTGTCCGTGTTGTCACGTTTTTTTTTGCCTTTCTGGCGTGTGCGACCCAGTCCAGCCAGGATGACGACACTAATGCCTGGCGTTGTCATGGGGGCAACGCAACCACGAGCACATACGAGGGGGGGGGGGTCACTCGTGAATAGAGAGAACAAAACACATGCTCATTAGGAAAACCAGGAAATAAATCCCCCACCTCAGAAAACCAAGTTTTCGTTCTTCTCCCAACAGCAGTACAGCAGCAGGATGAATTCGCCGTGTTTGCTCTTTTTTTGTTGTTGGAAGTGTGCGTGCACGCTCGTTGCTGTTGTGATGGGAGACGGGGATTGGAGCAGAGGGGGGGAGAAGCAACCAACGTGCGTGGTAGATCGTCCGTAGTATCGTAAGGATGCGGGTCTCCGCACAGGGGTGTCAGCGTTTTTCAAAGCTTCACCAATCGACAACTAGGAAGGCAACACTGCCGAAAAGGGCGGTTTTGGAATCATCTCATCGAGGTCTTTCCTTAGACGTGTTGTTTGGCCTTCGCACCCTCCGAGTTGCGGAGTAAAAGAGCTTTGAAAAACGCGAACACCCCTGTGCGGAGACCCGCATCCTTACGGTATGCCAGCCCTGGGGTCTTGTGGACCAAGCAGTTTAGTAGTGCCATCCGCAATAATATAGTTGTTTTTTTTCAGCTGGTGGGCTTGATTTTGTCCAGGGGGGAGGGAGGTACCGCGTATGTATCTGTGTGTCGGCACTGGGGGGGGAGCTGTGTCGGACGATATGACGAAGATGTGACATGCATATTTGTATTGATGGATTGGACCCCATGTTTTTTTTTTTTTTCACCATGCTTCTTTTGGTGCGACTGCGGCGGGCTGCGAGAGGGAAGAGGGTTGGGTATATATGTTTCACTATAATGAAGTCGAAAGCGACCGGTGTTTTCACTCTGTAGGAGAAACAGCAGTATCACAGCCCCAGGAGATGGGCGGTAACGGTGGTGGGTAATGACAGGGCGGGGCAGGGTCGGGGTGTTTTACGATTGATTGCGGTCTCGGTGCTAGCTGCTTCCGATGGTACTTCAATATTGCAAAAAAGTGTCTGCAGGGAAGAAAGCGCTTCGAAACGCCAGGCTTCATAAGAACGAGGTAGCCGAAGGATGACGCGTATGATCCGTGCAGCACCGTTTTTTCAAGCAACTACTTCTTCTTCGTGCACTTTTTGCGGAGAATAAAAGCACGCCCTCGTTCGTTCGTCACAAGGATAGAAACAATCCGCATAAGTTCGGGTTGTTTACTTACTGTTTGCCGCGCCCATGGCCATTTCTTGTCTCCAACTTTCTTTGCCCTTGCCTGTCGGTGGCCTTGACATTTCAATCATAACCTTACGCCCGAACGGTGGTCGCGAACGAACGTGTTTCTTTCGTAAAAGGTATGCTAAATATCATATTTCGTCGAAGGACGACCCTGTAAAGCTTGCCAGGGACAGCTACGTTTTTGAAAACCACACATACATCTGTAGCTGTGAGTGAGTAAATAGTGCCCTTTGGCGACAGGCCGACCAAAAGCAAGAGTTGAGTGTGCAACTGTACATACAGTGCACACAACTGTCTCTGGAGTGAAAGCAACAGAAATACATGTCATTCGCAGCTGTCATCCGCACGCAAGTGAGCACGAGATGCCTAACACAGGCAGAATATTGTAGCTCCAGTCTGCTGTACCTTTGGAATGTGATGTGTTTGGCGCACCAACCAGCCGGGTTAAGTCACAGGAGGAAGGTGAACACATTGGATGCGGATATGGATAGATGGCCTTTTTCTCCACCTTTCTCTCCCGATGATGCCGTGATCTTCTGCTCGGAACGCAGCACTACCGACCAAAAACACCGACAAAATTATCGTGCAGAATGGGTTTACGAACAGCAAAACACGCCTAAACTCCCATCTATCGGTGTGATTTTACGGTAGGTCTCGCAGCCATGTGCACCCCTCCCTTGGTACAATAGTTGGTTGGCTTTTGACCGCTCAACGAAGACGCCGGCGTCAGTTGGACCAGACGGGTTCGGATGTTTAAAAGGTGTACTGAGCAGAGATCGGAAAAGTTTTGTAATGCGTGCGACGACAATCAAGTAGTTAACAACAGCAGCAGTAACAAGGACACCAGCAACAACAACAGGAAGAACCCACACTACGACTGAAACCACACACAAAAAATACGCACGTTTATCGCGACTCACTGTCCTCCGCACTTCGTCTCGACATCCGTGCCAAACCCCCCGGTCCACCTTATCCCCCCAAGGCGCCGCATGATCGGGAACATCCGCTACACCACCAAACGTCAAAAGAAGGGGATGGAGGGGGGGGGGGGGTACAAGTAGCAAAAACCGTCTGCAAACGGGGTGTCGCGATTCCGCGCTAACCACTTGCCATGGTATGTAGACATATCGACAAACAACGAATAGTAGTAGTAGAAAGTGTGGCAACCTGTAGCCTGGAGGGTGGGTGGTGGCGCCCAAACTCAACAGGGTATGGCGCCAACTACGTAGCGACAAAATACTACACGGCCTGCACTCTCTAAGTGGACGGGCACCATGCAAACGAAAACCCAAGCACAAAAATTAATCAACATGTTGCTACGACAGTTCGCACGACCGCAAGCGTGGGTGTAAGTTGCGTGCTATCATCTGCTCCAGGCGCAATTCCTCCCAGGCTAAAACTCTGTCACAGGTGTATCTCAGTTGAGGTGTTGTTAAAACCACAAGAATACGACTGCGCCTCCCGCCCCTTAGGGTCGGCTAAGACGTTGACAACAAGAAGACTAAGACCGCCGAAGGGGCGAGTACAAGGCAGACGTCACATTTTTAAATCTAGGTTCTCAAAGCAGCATTATCTAGGCGCACTGATGAGTCCTGACTTCCCATGCACAAGCCGCGTTCCCCAAACGGCATATAACCCCCCGCTTGAACCAAAATCACGCCTACCCTATCCGACTCCTGCCCGTTGTCCCCGCCGTCCGTTCCACGAATGTAACTGTAATACGTGTACATTCGCCAAAAAAACACCTTTACTGCTGTACGGAAATAAAGCGGTCTTCCCGTGAGCACATCTACCTGGCCACTGAAAGGGTGGCACGCAGTTTTCTCATTGGTCGAAAAACCTCGAGGGGCAATCATTTTCAAAGACGGCGATGCGATAACCGCGTCCCACCCATCCTTTTCTCTAGGCAACCTCTTGTAGAGCTCGCTCACATCACCCCAACAGACTACAGACCACCGAAAAGAAACCGTACCGCAGACCGAACCAAACCGGATCACCCCACGAGCCACCCCACCCCTGCCGAGACCACGAATCCCAGCACCAGGGACCCCATCTTGCTCCACCCGTTCTCCGTAGAAGCGAGCTCCGGCGGGAGAACCTCCATCAAGGAAACATACAGGAAAGTTCCCGCCGCCAGCGCTACGCACACGGCACCGCCCGAGTCATCCTCGCCGTCCTTTTCGATGAGGGCGCCCAGGAGGATGCCCAGGGGGGTCATGGCGGAGAAGGCGATGACGAACAGGGTGACCTGCTTTCCGTAGACGCCGCTCTGGAGCAGGGAGGCGCCTAGCGCGTACGCCGCGAGTCCCTGGTTCGAAGGAAGCGTGGTGTTGTGTTGGGTGTGGGTGGGTGGGGGGGTACAGTCCGTGGACCAGATCGTGCTGACCCTGTTTACGTTTGAGGTGTGCTCATGTAAACGCACGCCTTAGCGGTTAGACCATGGACCATGGGGGGGGGGGGGTACTCATGTAAACGCATGCCGTAGTCGTTACACCATTAACTACGGATGCCTACAATGCCGGGATTGGGGGGGGTCACTTTGGTGGGAATTGTTGCTTCTGCTCGGCATTGGCCGTATCGACGTTCCGCTGCTGTTCCTCTCTCAAACGGTCACGTTCGAGGCGGTTCACTCGCTTTTCACGCCAACATCATCCCTACAGGATGACATGACGAGAGCATCATGCCTATAACGCGGACATTATGCCTACATGACGCGGGCATCATGCCTACACATGACAAAGGGCACAATCCTTACGGCAAAGGTACCATGTCAATGACAAGGGCATAATCCTGCCGAAGGGTTGGAACAATTCATACTCCGTTCAAAATATTTTAAACAGTCAAGGTGGCCTTGGTGCCCCTGATGCGGGCATCGCCTCGATCGGCCCCCTTGTAGTTGTGAACTTCGTTCACCGTATCCTACACACAGAAACTCCCACCCTATCCCCTTCCGCGATAATCAACTCTTGTAGGCCACGATTTGCGCCGAACCTCTTATCCTTTACCCACGCGTGCTAATATACGTTTCGGGAACCTCAAAGCTACAAATCCTTTTTCGCAATCGTACACAGTTGATATCTTGCTTTTCCTATCGCTCTCTTAGCTCACCATGAGGCTCCTTCCTTCTGACTACAACTCGTAATGAAATGCCTTGCCAACAACTATTAGCCAAACAGTACAAAATATAAAAGCGCGCAACACACAGCGAGGCTACATCGAAAAGCAAGATTGGTTGGTACCTTCACGCAAAGCACACGCAAACAACATTTACGTTTAGACGCGAAAAAAACTACCATGTGGTCCAATAATCCCACGCCAAGGCTTCCAACTCTTCGATTCCTGCCAACAAACAATATCGAAAATATGAGTATCCCATCAAACAAAGATTTCCCGTTGGAGAAAATACAACATCCGAAGGGATGTGTTGAACGCAGCCTTTGCAGTGAGTGAGAAAAAAACAGCTGGAACAAATACTGGGCTTGTTTTCTTGGCCCCTCTTTCTCGCTCCCAGCGTACCTTGTGGACTCCGATCGCGAAGAGCAAGTTGTAAGCCTTCGTGGTCTTAGCGCCGACTCCCAGCCCTTCCATCACCGAGTGCACCGACAACGCCAACAGCAGAGCCAGGCGCACCCACACTCCGTCCCCCTCCCCCCCCAGCCCGTGCGCATGCGCGTGCCCCCCATGGTGATGATGATCCGCGCAGTCCTCGTCTCCGTGTGAGTCAGTCGACGACGGCGACGAGATCAACCCCTGCTGTGGACACGCTCCGCCCCCGTTGCTTCCTGCCCCCCCACCCCCTTTACTACCACTGGCTCCCCCTGCCTCGCCGCCATTACCGTTACGGTCACCGTTGGTGCCCCCCCCTCGCACCACCGCCTCATGCGAATCGCCCATGGCGGAGGAACCCAGAAGAGCCTTCGGCGAAATAGCGGCCATCTCCTTACGCGAACAGCGGGGCGGAGTAGGGGACAGGGGGGGACACGGAGGAAGGAAGCGCAGGTGGGATACGAGGAGCTCAAGACGGATTAGGCGGAAGGAGGCGTGAATGGGATAGCAGGAGCTCAAGACGGATTAGGCGGAAGCACGAGTGAGATAGAGTTGCAAAGGGGGAGCTCAGGACGGTTGGGCTCTCGCCTACACAGGCTGAATGTTTCTTGAGAACAGCACTGCTCAAGTCTCTGGCGTCGTGGAATGAAAACTTAGGCACGGTAGTGCGATAGATGAGCCCTAAAACAAAAAATTAACAGCAATGATCACCAAGTGAAATGGCGACACAAGATGCCAACACATCACATACACCCCTAAAGACAGCGAGCGACAGATTTCACGTTCACCAACTTGCACGAACAACACTGATTATGATGCCCTCCGCGCGTTCGTTCCACTCACGAGCTCTGCCAGGTCTTCTGAGTCGGTGTTCCGATGGCTCCCGCCGTTTATTCCCCGTCTTTGGCCGAACCTGTTCAGGTCATCCACGCTTGGTGGCTCCTGCAGAAAAAAAAAACCGGAGGGACGGACGGACGGAACTAAAAAACGAGGTAAAAATGTACCATCGGGCCAGCAAGTCAGAGCGAGAGCGAGGGCAACATGCAAGGCTAGGGAGTTCGCAAACACGGTGTGGAACAAACACAAACATAACCCCCCCGGGACAGATTATCACAGCCAGCTCCGTCCTTGAAACTCCTACTTCTTCAAGAGGTCAAAGGCGGTGGAGACCACTTCATCCTCCAGCAACTCAAGGGCGGTAACAGCTCGACGACGCAGATATGCGCGTATTTTGATGTTGTTGTTGTTGTTGCTGCTGTTTTTTGTCGAGCTCGTCCCACACCAAAGCTCCACAAAATAGAGTGTAACAAACCCCATGTCGCATGCTAGGACGTTGGTGAACATGAACATTGCCTCGGCATTGAATTCTTTGCCTGCCGGAACATGGGTGTCGTCGCTTGAACCGCCGATTGATCGTGGGCAACGTCGTTAGAGTTACACTAGCACATCCTACTGACTGCAACTTGGACATCTGCCTTGCTACTACTTCTCCTCACTATTAACCAGCGCTCAAACACACAATTTCAGCCGGGAATGTAAGAGATCCCATCCGTCATCATCATCACACAGCAAGAAGGGTTCGACTCCTAACCCTACCCACCCCTCCTGCCGTGCTTGTTTGCCTTCGATCGAACGGAATTGTACAAAATACGGTATGAACCGCGAGCGAACATGCGGAACGAACCCTGGGCGTGATGTCACGTAGCGAGCTTGCCCCTCGATAAGACTATTTGTCTCCTCACCGTGGGCACCAGGCTGTGGCCCCCCTTTCTCCCCTTCCTGCGTCTTGCGTGGGATATCGACACCGCTTGGTCTATGCAAAGAATCTAAGGCAGAAGAGAACAGGCAGGAGCAAAGGATGCACGCGCGCGCGCCGATAACAAAGGAAAGAGGTGTGGAATAGAAACATATGCTTGTGAACAATATTTCTGCCAAGTACACAACTATTCAACGATTTATTCTCGGTGACGTCAGGGAAGACCGTTTCGAAAACGGATCGAGAAACCTGCAGTACCACCGCCGTCCAAAAGAGAGAGAGAGAGAGAGAGAGAGAGAGAATGAAAAACAGCACGAAAGGTTGCCGGAAACTGCAACCGTCATTGATCGAGAGGTATGTATCGCTCGGTGCTTCGCCAGGGTACCAAGCCAGCCCAAAAATCCATCTTGGCAACAGGGGGAGTCGGGGGTGCCGTTGATTGAGTGCTTGGGAGGGGAATAAATCCATAACGGGGCGCCGCAAGCTGCTCGATTCACTCACTCACCAAAAGGAACCCGAAGGCGCAAAAGTAGCCGCCCCATGGAAACACGTCCCCCCAAGCGTCGTTCAGCGTCTCGCTGCTCTCGGGCAACATATGCACCTGCAGGCATGAATAAACACATGAAACAAATGATAAATAGTCGACGATCGACGGACCCATCGACAAAAAAAAAAACAGGCGGCTGGCTAGGTTGGGGAAACCAACGGGGGGAGGGGGGATAGACGCCCGGAGCGCAAATTTGAAAAGGTCGACGACAGCAGTCAAACACTTGTCTGTTGGAGTCTAATTTTCACGAACCGCTTCGCCGAACACTGTGGTAGATCTTATGGTACAATCAGCGCCGGAAAATTCGAAAACCTGCTATCAGATGTATAGCTATGTGCAACCACTGCCACTACATGGGGGTGAAATCCCTGAAGAACGATTGTGCGTATCAACGAGCGGAGGTGTTTCCCAGAATGTCCTGAACTTCGGTTTCAGAGGCTACACTGGCTTCCGAACTTTCAAAACCATCATTTTTTCGACTAGCCTCCTTTTTATGACGAGATTCGGCGCCGCATATTCACCACCGACACGCTCGATCGTCCATTGACTGCTGCTGTGTGTGCATGTAGCCGGCAACACAAAAATGCGCGGGATAGATTTAACTCGGCGTCCGCCAATCAGCGGCCTCTAGTTTACTTGCCGTCACGTCTTTTTTCGAGTAGTTTTGGAGATTACGCCGCAAGAGGGACACCGATGTCAAACCGCCACCTCAACCTTGCACCCAGGGAGCTGCACCCGATGCATATCTCACTGGAAGCTGTTTTTTCGCAACCGCAATGCCCTGCTGCAGCGCGAACTCATAGCCAAGAGCCAGGGAGGAGGATAACTACAGCAAAATATCACGCACCAGCCCTGCGATCCGGGTGTGTTTACGCTTCGTCTCCACGTCCCCCATCCAAGCACCGGACTACAACCTCACGTAATGTGACGGTGCACTGGCAATTCTGCAAATGTTCAACCGAGTTGGAGTGATTCCGCGGAACGTATGCATATATCTCGCAGACAGTGACGTATCGGGATCTAGACATGTGCCTGTGAGATCAGAGCCTGTGGGACACGCTGAACCCGCGTAGCAATAGTATGGCGCGCCACCCGCCGCCGCTCTTTATTCTTTCGTATGCATACAACGAATTCATCTCGACTGCTGCTGTTTGTATCCTGGAACAGAGAAGAGCCCGGGATAACTGTAGCAATTGAGGAATAGAAAGTGTTACTTCGATGTAATATACCAACCACAAGTGATCCCTTCGGAGTGGGCTGGCGCCTGAGGGCACAGCAGTGTCATGAAGGGGTGTTGCAACGTGAAATCTCGAACGGGTGGTCTTTCTGTGAGATTATGTGTACTTTCTAAAAAGAGCAGGGAGCAGAGCAAACATTTCTTCAATTTTCACGCATGCTACATACCGCTGCCTCTACCTCTATGTAGCGTTATCGGCATCGTTCGTTCCCTCCCTATCCCTCCCTCTCCTCTCAGTCGAGTGTTCCGCTAAATGTAGTCTATCATAGTGTGAATGTTGTCCACGCCACACACACATGCATACACGAGCAAGAAAATGAGCCAGTTGCAGAACCTTGGGACACCCATCTGTACAGGGTAGCTCGTAGCGTTGACGCGACGTGAGTCCTGTACAGCAGTGTACCACAAACATGTCCTCGTCCTTTGTCGACGGAGACAGCGTGCGTCTCTGGGCAGCAAAATCTGTTACCATGTAGCTGCGGCTACAGCAGTATATGTATTTTTCTTGCTTGCGGCGTTCCCTCTGGTGCTCTGTCAGGTGTTATACTACCTTTCTTCCTCTTCGTCTGCAACTTGTCAATCGTTTCATGTCGACGCATCCGGTATCCGACGGCGTCGACTCACAAACAGGAACAACAGCAGTTCAAACGTTCAAACACCCGCGTCGACGTGGAGGCACGGACGGTTTGTACAGCAGTCTTGGATATCGATATATCCTCCGCAATGGCGAAGGTAAATTTGCATGATGGTTCGCACAACGTGCTCAACCGACAAAGAGAGAAGTCGGGGGCACCCATAACATGGGTAAAACAAGGACGGCAAGGTCGAAAAGCGGGCATGCTTGGCCCTTGCATCCGAAACCCGCCGGTGCTCGCAACATGGCAGAAAATTGTGAAATTTCAAAGGGAGATGGTATAGGTAGTGTGCGATCTTGCCTTCCCCAAAAAGGAGGCAGCAGCAGCCGAAAAAATTCCGTAGCCCTGTCATAAAGATTTGAAGCACTGCTGAATGTAGTGCAACACGCCTACCTATTGCATGAGTATGTACCGCCATACGCACCGCATGACCCGCCACGGCATGATCTACCCTGTTGTCACACTCTACATGCCGTAGTCTCTCCGCGACACCATGCTTCGCCCGCCGCCAGTGGAAGGGTTGCCGGTAATGTAGACTGGGCTATCATCACGACGCGATACCGCACGGCTGGCTTATGGACTTGCTGTTGCGTACCAAAACGACGAGACCGACCGATAGAGGAAGCTGTTTTCCCCCCTTGTTAGAATCCGTTGGATGAAGGCCACGAGTGGTCACTGCTGTCTGTCTTTGTGTCTCTCCGCCTCTCACCATCGCCGAAGCAAAGAAGACTCCGCCCGCTGCCATGTTGAGGCACGACACGACCTTCTTGCCGACATTTTGCAGACGCTGAGGCAGGAGACCTCCGACCAGCGCTATCGAGAAAAGGATCAGCGCAGCTGTGGCCTTGAACAAGTCGGCCGAAGGCTCTCCATTAGACTCTCCACTGTCCATGGTTTCGGACCCGCTCTCTGTTCGTGTTGCTGCGCAACTGCAAATACACTCGACGCCGCACTGGGGGGGTTCTCCAAGCGAGAAAGGAGAAGCACGTTGATACACACAAAGATTCTGCGGACTCCCTTTCGGCCTTGTTGATTATTGTGCACTGACAGGTATTCTCGGTGTCCACAAGACAGAAGCACGAGTGATTCTACGTTGGTTTCGCAAAAAAAAATCGTTTACGTGAAGAAAACCCTCAACAAACGGGATACAGTCGAGGCCCCTCCTATAGTGCGGGTATGTATGGTATGTGCCAAGCGCTTTGACCCGCATTGCTTACAGCGGGGCACGATGATATGATTCACGCCTGATTAGTGCGGGAAGACGCACTAATTATTAATTTATTCAGGGTTCTCCGTGCAGCCAATAGTAGTGCGGGAAGGCGCACTATCACGATACCATCATTGGTATAGAACACGTACGTACAGGATGAATCGAAGGCCTTTGCAGGTGGCACAGGAGCAGCATGATGACGAGATGCCGTATGTGGTTTACCTGGCGATGTAAGCAGTGTACGCAACACCGAGGGGTAAAATATTCGACTCGTTTGGCGTCTGCAGGACAGTCTGCATTCGTTAGTGGATGGTAGGAGTAAGGAGAGAAAACAACAACAGCATGTATTTTGCCAACACTGCGTAGCGGTGATGCCACATCCAAGAACAGACCACTGGACATTTTAGATGTGGTCCATGACATGCTGCGGATTGTACGCTGGTAGCGAAGGTGTGTCGTTCCACTCTGTGTAATGACTCATTGTATACATTCATGAAACAAATGTTCACAGGAAAAATCCACCACTCACTGGTGCGAGGCAAAGATCATCTGCACAACGACCAACCTTCAACCTTGCCAAAAAAACACGAATCACGCCCGTCCACACAACTTTCAACACGACCCAGAACTCCAGACTCCCACAGATACGACAAGGAACGGGGGAATACCCCAGAGACAAAGAGCACACCAACAAGGACCCAGCCTCTCAGCTTTCCCCACAACGTCTGTCTGCGGGGCTCGGTGGGTTGCACGCACAAAGAAACAAGTGTGCAGGAAGTGACTCGAAGAAAATACTGCATGTATGTACTGCTGCTGTAGCTCATCCCCACATTTGTGCCAAAAAACCCGGTCCACCCCCCGATGACGCCGCATGACGAGCATCGTCCGCTACACCACCAAACGTCTAAATGATGGGGGGGCTACAAGTAAGTAGCTCAAAATCGCCGAAACGAAAGAAAGAGTCCCGGGCTTCCGCGCTCACCACTGCCATGTACGTAGACATATCGACAAACAACGAATAGTAGAAAGCGTGGAAACCTGTAACCTGGAGGGTGGGTGGTGGCGCCCAAACTCAACAGGGTATGGCGTCAACTACGTAACGACTAAATACTGTACGGCCTGCACTCACTCTCAAGCGGACGAACACCTACATGAACGAACCCTCAAGCACAAAATAGCTACTACACGTTGTCAGACACAACAGTTCGCATCCCTGACGGCAAGGGTGGGTGTTGGCCGCCTGCTATCGTCTGCTCCAGGCGCTGTCAGAGGTGTATCTCAGTTGAGGTGTTCTATAAACCACACGATTGAGACTGCGCTTCCCACCCCTTCGCGTCAGCTGAGACGTTGACAACAATATACGGCAGGCGGCGCTTTTTAAGTCTGAACCTCAAAAACCGCATCCAAGACGACATTCACAACCTCTCGAAAAAGGAGCAGCTACACGGCAGGCGTCGCTTGCATCGAAGACGACGTCCACAAATTCTCGAACAAGGAGCGAGTACAAGGCAGGCGTCGCTTTCCAAGTCTACAACCTAACAGCAGCATTATCTAGGCGAAGAATATCGTCCTGACGTCTCCTACACAAGCCGCGTTCCCCAAACGGCATAGACTATAATCCCCTGATTGAACCAAAATCGTGCCTATCCTATCCAACCCACCACCACCCCGCCGTCCGAACCACGCGTTTGACTTAACTTATGTACACTGGCAAAAAAACACAATCACTGTTATACGGAAGAAAAGCGGTCTTCCCGTGAGCACGCAGTTTTCTCATTGGTAAAATAACAAAAAAAACTCGCGGGGCAATCTTTTTCAAAGATGGCCAACCAGAAAGCTGCGTCCCAATCATCTTCTCTGGTGAATCTCTCTTGAATGCTATATTAGAGCTCGCTCACTTCACCCCAACAGACCACAGACACGCCGAAAAAAAACCATACCGCAGACCGAACCAAACCGGATCACCCCACGAGCCACCCCACCCCCGTCGCGACCAAGAATCCCAGCACCAGGGACCCCATCTTGCTCCAACCGTTCTCCGTAGAAGCGAGCTCCGGCGGGAGAACCTCCATCAAGGAAACATAGAGGAAAGTTCCCGCGGCCAGCGCTACGCACACGGCACCGCCCGAGTCGTTATCGGCGTCCTGTTGGATGATGGCTCCAATGAGGATACCCAGGGGGGTCATGGCGGAGAAGGCGAGGATGTACAGGGTGACCTGCTTTGCGTGGACGCCGCTCTGGAGTAGGGCGGCGCCTAGCGCGTACCCGGCGATCCCCTGGTTTGAAAGGAAGCATGATTTTGTGTTGGGTGGGTGGGTGGGTGGGTGGGGGGGTTAAGACTGTGCATCAAATCATCCTGAGCCTCGTTCTGTTTGGGGTGTGCTATGTATACGCAGGCCTTAGCGGTTAGACCACGGGCCATGGGTGGGTCGTGGGCGCACTCATGTATAATAGAAGCATGCCAAACCACACAATATGTGCATGCAGTCGTTACACCATACACCTCGCATCCCTTCACTATTGTAAAAATGCCGGCATGGGGAGGGGGGAGTCACTTTGGTGATAATTGTTGCTCTGCTCGACATCGGCCGCACCGACGTTCCACTGCTATACCTCTCTCTCAAAAACGGTCATGTTCGAGGCGGTTGACTCGCTTTTCACGCGGATACATCATCCCTGCAGAATGACAAGGGTATCCCTCCTAATCCGTGCCGAAGGGTTGGAACAATTATTACCCCGTTTCTCGGCGCGAGATCATTCGTACCGTTCAAAATCGAAAAGCAAAAATAATCAAGGTGGCCTTGGTGAGCCTGACGCGGGAATCGCCCTGATTCGGCCCTCTACAGTTGTGAACTTCGTTCTCCGTTTCCTACTCACAGAAACTCCCACCCTATGCCCCTCCTCTACGTTCAAACTTTTGTAGCCCACGATTTGTGTCCAACCTCTCATCCGTCACCCACGCGTGCCAATGTGCGTTGCGGGAACCTTGAAGCTACAAATCAATTTCGCAAACATAAACCGTAGGTTGATATTTCGCTTCACCTATGGCCGTCTTAGCTCACCTGAGGCAGGCATCTTCCTCCTGATCACATCTCGTTACATGCCTTGCCAAGAACTAAAAACCAACCAGAGTAAAACCAAAAAACGAGCGCCACACACAGAGAGCTCACATCGACATGCAAGACTGGTTGTTACCTTCACGCAAAACACGCAAACGATATTTACGTAGACGCGAAAAATAGTATCTACCATATGGTCTAACATAACAACTCAAACAAGGCTTCTAATTCTTCGACTTAAGGGTTTAAACTCAACAACACCGCAGGGAGGTGCGAATCTCCAACGCTGTCTTCACAGGCGTTCCACTCAGGCAACGGCCACAGATATGGGGCGGTGTGTACGATCACCGGACAGGCTGTGATGTTCGGTGAAGAGGCACAATCTCTAGATGAGATGGGGACAGAAGTGAGGAGTGCGAGGTGTGCGAGGGTACGCCCTCGCGCCCCTCTCGGACACAAGTCACGGTCAACGACCCGAGGAAGCCTCGTGGAAGACGGCTTTAGGTTCTTCGTAACGTTGCACGCTTTCTCGTGGCTCGGAGCGTTGGCGACATCGACATCGCTCCGAAGGACAATCTTGAGAAGAGAAAGTGGGGAACGTTCTCCACGGTCGAAGGATTTGTGGCGAAACACGTGGGTAGGTTGGCTTCGTAGAGTCGTGACCCACAGATTCCTTCAAAAAACACTTGTCAGAAAAAATACGTCTATACATTCCATCAAAGAAAGACCACCCATTCGAGAAAATGCCACATTCGAAGGCCCGTGCTGAACGCGAAATTTGCGGTGAGTGAGAAAAAAATCAGCCAAGTACTGCTCGTTTCCTTTCGCTCTCAGCGTACCTTGTGAACTCCGATCGCGAAGAGCAAATCGTAAGCCTTCGTGGCCTCGGCGCCGACTCCCAGCCCTTCCATCACCGAGTGCACCGACAACGCCAACAGGAGAGCCAGGCGCACCCACACCCCGTCGCCTTCCTCCCCCAGCCCGTGCGCATGCGCCCCCCGAAGGTGATCCCCGTCACCGCTATGGTCATCATTCGTGTGCCCCCCTCGCACCACCGCCTCTTCCGAATCGCCCATGGCGGAGTAACCCAGAAGAGCCTTCGGTGAAATAGCGGCCATCTACTTGTGCAAAGAGCGGGGCGGAGTATGGAACAGGGGACAGGGCGGAAGGAAGCGCCGGCGGGATAGGAGGGGCTCAACACGGATTAGGCGGAAGGAAGCGCGGAGTGGGATAGAGTGGAAAAGGAGGACCTCAAGACGGGCGGGCTCTTCTCCCCTACAAGGACTGAATGTTGGTTGAGAACAGCACTGCTCAAGTCTCTCGCGTCGTGGATGTCAACTTAGGTACGGTAGTGCGCTTCCTACTTCTGATGACACCGGTAATGTGTTATTGTTACGGGCCGACACGAGCCCTAAAACAGAAAATTACTCTAATGATCATCAAGGGAAACTGCGACACAAGATTCCAACACACTACACACCCCTATACACCAAAGCCACATCCGGTTGTAATTGTTTGAGAAGCCAAACAGTTGCAGACAGGGTGTGTTGTCTTGCGTTGGTAGTCAACAGCAACCGATAGCAGTAGTAAGGTGCGAGGGAACAAAAACACCTACAACGTTGGTTGTGATGCAATCTCTTTCTTCAGCACAGACCAAAAATATCACAACGATCGAGGGCTTTTCATCCGTGCAAATTGACAAAAAGACAAGACCTACTTTTCGCTCAGCCCCGTGCGAACAAAGACGGCGACCGACAGATTCCATTTACACCAACTTGCACCAACAACACAGAATACGATGCCTTGTCCGGTATCTATTAGACATCCTCCCCGCGTTGGTTCAACTCACGACCTCTGCTAAGTCTTCTGAGTCGGTGTTCCGATGGCTCCCGCCGTTCACTCCCTGTCCTTGGCCGAAACTGTTTAGGCCCTCCGCGCTTGGTGGCTCCTGCAGAAACAAAAAAACAAAAAGGACGGAAAGAAAAAACACAAAAAATGAGGTGCAGAGGGGGTGCCTGTTTAGTGCCCATTGAATAGTGCCAATGCCCGGAATAGTGCCGATGCTCGGCGGGCACACACTGAATGAATTGCCAATTCATTTGTCAGTACTTTGAACAGTGCCGGTCCGGTTTAGCACCGGTGAATTTTCTGGGCACATGCCGGCACTACACAGGAACCCCCTCTGTGAAAATAGAGCATTGGGTCGGCAGGCCAGCGCGAGGGCGACATGGAAGGGTAGCGTCAAGCTGTGTATGTATGTAATGGCTGCAACAGCGGGTGCGAGGGACTGACTCGTCGCAAGCACGGTGTGGGAAAACTTGCATCATACAAAGCCCCCCCGCGACAGAACGACACAGCTAGCTCTCCCCTCAAAACTCCTGCTTCCTCGCAAGAAGTGAAAGGGAGTGGAGACCATGGCACCCTACAGCACCTCGACGGCGGCGACGGCCCGACATGACGTGAGCATGCGTCAAGCTTTCCCCCTCTCCCGTCCCACCCCAGCACCAAAGCTTCATTCATAATTCAGAGTGTACCAACACCAGTATCGCACACAAGGACGTTGGTGAACGCTAACATTGCCTCGGCATTCTTCGTTTGTCGCAACAGGGAATCGGACAACCTCCTTAGAGTTACACTATTTCAAGCATATCCTACTAATAATAGCTGCAACTTGGACATGTGCCGTGTTTCACTATTAACCATCGCTCAAACACAGAATTTCAGCCGGGAATGTAAGAGATCCAATCCATCATCATGATCACACAGCAAGAAGGGTTCGACTCCTCCCCCTACCCACCCCTCCTGCCGTGCTTGCTTTCCTTCGATCGAACGGAGTTGTACAAAATACGGTATGAGCCGCGAGCGAACATGCGGAACGAACCCTGGGCGTGATGTCACGTAGCGAGCGTGCTCCTCGACAAGACTGTTGATCTCCTCACCGTGGGCACCAGGCTGTGGCCCCCCTTTCTCCCCTTCTTGCTTCTGGCGTGGGATATCGATACCCCTTGGTCTATGAATAGAACCTAAGGCAGAAGAGAACAAGCAGGAGCACCGGACGCACCACGAGCGCGGGACGAAAACAAAGGAAATAGTTAGTTGTGGAATCGAACTATATATTTGTGGCAATACATGTGTGCAGTACATCAATATCCAACGATTTATGCTCCCCGACGTCAGGGAAGACCGTTTCTAAAACAGATCGAGAAACCTGCAGTACCACCGCCGTCCAAAAGAGAGAGAGAGAGAGAGAGAGAGAGAGAGAAATAGCACATCAGGGGGCCGGCAACCGGAGCCGTCATTGATTGAGAGGTATGTATCGCTGGGTGCATCGCCCGGGTACCAAGCCAACTCCAAAATCCATCTGGTCAACCGGGGGAGCCGGGGCTGCCGTTGATTCGATGCATAGAAGAGCAATCAATCCACAACGGGGCTCCGAAAGCTGCTCGACTCGATTCACTCATCTCACCAAGAGGAACCCGAAGGAGCATAAGAAGCCTGCCCATGGAAACACGTCGCCCCAAGCGTCGTTCAGCGTCTCGCTGCTCTCAGGCAACATATGCACCTGCAGGCATGAACAAAAATACAATGAAATGAATGATAGTCGACGATCGACGGACCGATCGACAAAAAAAAACAAGGAGGGGGGGGGGGGGGGAGGATAGACGACCGTAGCGCAAATTTGAAAAAGTCGACGACAGCAGTCAAACGCTGTCTATTGGAGTCTAATTTTCATGAACAGCTTCGCCGAAAACTGCTGTAGATCCTATCAATAGTACACTCAGCGCCGGAAACTTCGAAAACCTGCCATCAGATCTATAGCTATGTGCAACCACTGCCACTACATGGGGGTGAAATCCCTGAAGAACGATTGTGCGTCTCAACGAACGGCGTTTTTCCCAGAATGTCCTGAACTTCGGTTTCAGAGGCTACACTGGCTTCCGAAATTTCGAAATATGCACGTCGTATCGATTTCTCGACCAGCCCCCCTTTTTGGTGCCCATGGCGAGATTCGACGCCGCATGTTCACCACCGAGACGCTCGATCATCCATGGACTACTGTACTGCTGTGTGTACGTGTACCCAGCAACAGAAAAAAGCGGCGGGATACATACGGCCGGAAGATTAAACTCGGCGTCCGCCAATCAGCGGCCTCTATTTGACTTGGCGTCTTGTCTATTTTCGAGTAGCTTTGGTATTTACGCCGCAACTCGCAACGCAAAAGGGACACCGATGACAAACCGCAACCTCAACCTTGCACCTAGCTAGGGAGCTGGAGC